GGGGGCCGGTGAGGGCTGCTCTGCTGCCTGGCAGGCTTGAGCGGGCGCTGTGGAGGGCGCAGGGCGGGATTTCTCCGGGCACCAGCTCCTCTCTGCCCCTCTGGGCGGCTTCTCCCCGACTTGGAGGCTTCTGGACCCCGGCTGGCGGAACCAGGACGGCCTCTTGAGCGCACCTTGGTCTGGTGTCCCAGAGCCGGAGCCGAGCCAGGGGCCGCAGGTCAGGCAGCGGGCAGAGTGGCCGCCCCCCACCCCCATCCCCACCCCACCTCCTCGCGCACCCAGCACCTTCCGGGGAGAGCACCCCCCTCACAGGCCGCGCCCCTCAGCGCCCCGCTGGCGGCCAGGAGGGAGGCGGCCCAGGCGGTCGGGGCGGCACTGGGAGTTCTCCAAGGTGCTAAAATAAACCCCGCGAAGGATCAGGTTTCCCGACCGAAATAACCCGGGAGCGGCCTTGGAAACGCGAACCGAGAAAGCGGAGCCGGGGCGGGGGCAGCGAGGAAAAGGCTTTGCACAGGGCTCCCTCCCTCTCCTGGCGGGCACCCCGCCCTGCTGCCCCCCCCCAGGCTGCGAGTCTCCCCAGAGAGCTACACGCCCCTCCCCTCCCTTCTGGGGTCATCCCCCCAAGGAGCTGGGCTCCTGGCCCTTGGTCTGTGACCCCAAGGACTGTGTAGCCTTCAGACCAGCACCCACCCGCCCACAGGGGGTTATGGCCAGGCGCTGCGCAGCCCCTGCTGGCCGCCGCGAGTCTCCGCCGCGAACACGCGTGTGTCCCAGAGACCGGGTGAGGGCCCCCGAGGGGGTGACCAAACCCCTGGCCTCTGAGCTCAGGTTCTCGCTCCGGTGATGGGGACGTGACTGAGCAGAGCCCGGAGCAGGGTTAAGTCGCGTTCAGGACACAGGCTCCGTGGACTCGGCGGTGAGCCTCGGGCATGGAAGACCGCGAATGTGTCTGCACTGGGCAAACTGCTCTAGGCCTCCACACGGCCTAGGGCCTCTCCCGCCTCCGTCAGGCAGGCCATGCGTCCACGTGCTCATGGCCGGAGGTCAGGCTCGCCCCGAGTTGGCATCCTGGTCAGGCTGGGCCCCTCTCTCAGCCTGGGCGGTGCAGACAGGAAGGAACAGGGCCCGCGGGGGCAGGGTGATGGCCTGGAGGCCAGGCGGCCTGCAAGGGTGGGCCATCAAGGGGCCATCTTTGTGACCCCCACTGCCCCTGGCATGGGTCTGGCACACAGTTTATTTTATTTGTGAACAAAAGAACTAGAGTGTAGGCCAGAGGTGCAGGGGGTGAGCGGACTCACCAGAAATCCACTGCCGAGGGGAGCAGCAGGGAGACAGGAGGGGTCTGCTGTGCTCTGTGGGTCAGCTCCCTGGCCAGGGATCACATTCAGGCCACCAGGGAGGCCCCCAGTGACAGTTTAGACCTCAGGACATATTTGATGAATAAGCCCATGAATGAGCAAGGGACAGACAAGGCCAAACAGCAGGGATGAAGGGTGCTACGCTTGGCCGAGAAGACGCCCAGGGCTCCCAGTTCAGGGCCCAGCCAGCCACAAGCCTGCTCTGGCTGACCAGCTACGTACCCTCACGGGCGATGTGACCACTGCGGTCTGCCGCTCCCACTCGCCCACGTGGGACATGGGTGCCAGGACTACCCTGCAGGCTGAACACCCACGATTCCGTCACACCCCAGGCCTGGGCACTGCAGCAGGTGCTCGGGTTGGCCCGTCAGGCTCCTGAGGATGCAGCTGAGCACCCCGTTTTACCTGGCACCTGCCACACTGCCATGTATTTACGATCTGCATTTGGCACAGTGGGGTGTGTAGGCGGACGCCAGGCCAGAACAGTTTTGAAGAGTCACAAAGTGGAAACCGTCTACATGTGCAATAATAAGGGCTGGCTCACGGCAGCAAGGGCCCAGCACATGGGTGACAAGCAGCCATGGGGAGATGATGGGTTGTCATGGAAACACGGCCAGTTTTATTTTAAGGGAAAATGGTAGGTTTTTCTTTAAAGGGCATATAATGTGATGCTATTTTTTAAATGCATATTTGTGAGTGTATATGCATGTATGTGCGATGCACCAATCCAGAGCGTGTGCTTGTTGTAAAATGCGTGTTGGAAATGAGACAAGTGAAAAATCCCTTTATGACATCACAGTGTTAACAGCGGTGGTCTCCAGGTGGTAGAATTATACCTGCGGCCTCTGTATTTATTGGATTTATTGCAGTAAACATGGGACACCTTGATAGTATAAAAAAATACAATTATACTGTTTATTTATAAACTGGCTGATGACTTCACTGATGTGTGTCGGTCCCCTCAGGTGGCCGCAGGAAGAGATTAATGAAAGCATGGGCTCCATGAATGAACCCTAAGACTGAGAAGAGTGGCCTGCGGCAGATGCATCTGCTTTGCGAGTGACTGACAGTGTGAACAGGGGCCCCACCTTACAGAGGAGAGGAGCAAGTGAGTCCCTCACCCCATTCCCCCTGTGGGGGAAACAGGCCAGGAGGGAGGGCTGGCAGGTCTGGCCTGAGGCCCCTCAGCTGACGATGGTTGAGGCAGGCATTGAGCCCAGGGCTCTGCCACTCCAGAGCCCACACTTTCTCCACTGCTGGGCCGGAACCCAATCAGGCTCCCTGGCCCTCCCCAGTGCGGAGCCCATTGTGGTTCTCAGCTTGCTGGCAGCCCAGGGCAGATCAAGATGCTGACACAAGACTCTGGGTATTAATAGCCCCTCTCTGGAACGGGTCACTCTGCCCTCCTGGGGTCAGCCCCGGCCGTGAGCCCCAGTCGGGAAGAACAAGTGAGCACAACCAAGTCCCCATAGTCTGAGGGGTCTCGGCCCAGAAGTCCTCCAGCCCCACCCCAGGGAACACTTGGGGGTCGGCCTGCCCTATTTGGGATTCCACCTAGAAGACGTCATCTCTTTGAGCCGCAACTTCCTTATCTTTAAAGGGGATGAAACCATGGTGACGTCACGGGTGTCATTGACGTCACAGGTGTCATTGCTTACGTGATGTCATTGAGCTAAAGCACACAGAGTGCTCAGCATGCGGTCCAGGACCCGGTGGGGGTCGGCCTGGCTCATGGGGTCTGCGCTCCCTTCCTGGGCGTGTCGAGTCCATGACAGGATAGCACCTATGGTCATGGGCTGGACACTGGCCTGGAAATAGTAAGAGCTCGGTAAAGTGGGACTCATAAAAGTAATATTTGAAAATTCTCCCTATTTCTTGAACCAGAAAAAGGTAAGCAAATCAGTGATCAGGAAGACCACCGTGCCCAGCTGCAGGTCAGCCTGAGGCTGTGCGGCTCGAGATCATCCGAGAGCGTCTGCAGAGCAGCTGAGGCTGAGCCCTGCCCCTGTGAGGCTGGAGCGAGGCATCTGGGACACCCTCCCCCGTGACTGCATGGGCTGATGGAACACTCTGGAAGGGGAGGAGGAGGAATGCCAGGACTCTGCAGGGACCCAGGATGAAGGGATCCTGGAGTCTGCTATGGGCTGGGGTCCCGAGCAGAGGGGTGGGTCCTGCTGGGGGAACACCCGGAAGGCGGACGGGATGGCGCCTCACTCCTTAGGCAGGGTCAGTCCCTAACCCATAGGCCTGAAGACTCAGCACTCGGCGGCGCTGCTCCGTGTTTCACAGACACTATCCATGACCTCGCGCGGCCCTTGGCACACAACACTATTATTCCCGTGTTACGGGTGGAAAACCCAGGGCCACAGAGACCACGTGACTCGATCCCACTTCCACAGGGGGGCGGTGGAGCCCTGGGTCGCCCCTGCATTTTATGATTTGAGCCCATGGGCTGGCATCCTGTGGGCAGAGAGGCTCACCCCCAACCCAGGCAGCTCCCTGCCCTTGGGAGGCGTTGGCCCTGCTCCCTGGGGCTGGGGGTGGGCCTGCCCAGGCCCCAGGACTGGAAGGGGAGTCACGGTCCTGCCCACCTCCAGGCTGTCAGGAGACCCGGGAGCTCACTCCTCACTCGTGTTCTCGCTAAGTCAGCAGCTTCCCTTGAGCTTGGGCTGTAGAGACATGGGGTCCCCATAGTCAGCCAGGTAGGCGCCTCAAGCCCCAAATCTTCGACGGGGCCCACCTGGTCTGCCCTGTTGGGATGTGCAGCTTCTCATGCCCCCTTTGTTCACGCTCTGGCCAGGTGGGCCTCCCAGAGCTGTCCCCAGCCCAGCGCTCCCCCCACCGTCCTTTCTGCAGGAAGCCCCCGAGACTCCCGGACAGACCCAGAGGCCTGAGTCTATGATCCTGCCACAGGCCCGCACACACGAGCACTCATTTACACGTGTCCTTTGCTTCATCGCCGCTGAACGGTGAGCTGCCGGGCACGGGGACAGTCGTGACCCTCTCCGCAGCATGCCCAGCCCCCAGCTCGGTGCCAGGGGCTGGGCAACTATTTATGGGTTGCCCAAAGCATCGCGTTGCTCATCCAAACCCGGCAGTGCAGGCAAGCGCCAGAGGGCAGATCCGTCCCCTCCCGCTGAGGAGGTGAGACCTGGGAGCATCAGCGATGGGCTGTGCTGCCCTGCAGCCCCTTCAAGACTGAGCAACAACCAAAGACACAGGCCGGCTGCCAGCTTCTTCTTCACAGGACACAGGTGCTGTCCCCGCCGGGGGCCACTGGGCTGCTTCCGGGGGATCCAGGCAGGAGCTTTCAGGGACGGTCCGCACTCCATCTGGGGCTTGGGGGGCCAGGGACCCCGTCCGAGCCGCCCAGGCCAGCGGTGGGGGTCGGCCTGGCTCATGGGGTCTGGTCTGCTCGGGGAAGCTGGGAGAAGCAGGGGTGCTTCCGGGACCCCCATCCGGACCTCGGCCCGGGCGCAGGCAATGCCAGAGCGGCAGCAGGACTACATTTCCCAGAGTGCCCCAGCCCAGGCCGAGAGCCATTGGGAGATTTAAATAGCCCAGGCCCAGGCAGCCCGGCCGCAGCTGTGTGCGCGGCGGCTCCCGGGTGGCTCCATTGGCGCTGGCCCCGCACCCGTGGGCTCGATTGGCTGCCCAGCTGGCACTGACGTCCGCGCCTGGGGGCAGCCGGAGGTGAAACAGCCATGTGCGAGCCTCCTGTCTATATTTAACAGCTGCTGCGGAGCGGGCAGGGCGGCGGGGCAGGGCAGCTCCGGGCAGCTCTTGTCTTCGGGAGGAGGCCCCTGCCGCCGGCTGGCACCGGCCTGGCCGCCTGAGCGTCACCATGCCGGCCTCCCAGAGCCGGGCCCGGGCCCGCAACAACGTCCTCAACCGAGCCGAGTTCCTGTCCCTGAGCCAGCCCCCCAAGGGGGCGCCTGAGGCCCGCAGCTCGGGCAGGAAGGCTTCAGGCCCCTCGGTGCAGCCCCCCGCCCCTGGCGACGGGCCCCGGGAGCGGGAGCGGCGCCAGTCTCAGCAGCTGCCCGAAGAGGACTGCATGCAGCTGAACCCCTCCTTCAAGGGCATCGCCTTCAACTCCCTGCTGGCCATTGACATCTGCATGTCCAAGCGGCTGGGGGTGTGCGCCGGCCGAGCCGCGTCCTGGGCCAGCGCCCGCTCCATGGTCAAGCTCATCGGCATCACAGGCCACGGCATCCCCTGGATCGGGGGCACCATCCTCTGCCTGGTGAAGAGCAGCACGCTGGCCGGCCAGGAGGTGCTCATGAACCTGCTGCTGGGTGAGTGAGCCGCGTCCGCCAGCTCCCCAGCCAGGAGGGAGCCCGCCCCACCCCTCCCGGCCGCCACCAGCCCTGAAAACCCACTGGAATGATCTCAGGAGGCTGACAGGAAGGGTGCCCTCGAAACAGGCAAACCTCCAGCTTGAGGGGGACAGGGCCGGGACTGTGAGGATGAGGGTCCCCTGCAGAGTGGGGCCCTGGGAACCAGGGGAAGGGCCTGCCCTCGGCAGAGTGCTCCATTGCCCCAGGGGCAGCTGGAAGGGAAGTGAGGGCTGGTGGTGACCACTTTGAGGGGGAGAGTTGGGGTGTAGTGGGGGTCCTGAAGAAGAGTCACCCCCATATGACCCCCAGGCCACAGCGTGGGCCCTTGATTTTTAGGCTATTTACAAACAACACTTAGTTCAGGGACCCTGCATGCTGCCTGGGACTCCACAGGGCCTGGGGTTCTGGGGATCTAGCCTGGGGCTTCCACCCACTCACAGACTCGTGGAGTCCTACGGCCTTTCAGTGAGTGCTGCCTTTGCCGGGCCCACGTGCAAGGCAGCCCCCCTCCACCCGGGAGGGGGCCCCCAGCACCTCCCACCCCGACGGTGCTCGGGGCACCTCTGCTTCCCTCCATGCTGGGCCCACATCCACCCCGCGCCCTTCTCAGCCCGGCCACCACCTTGGGTGCCAGTGAGCAGGGTCTCAGGCATAGCAAACACCCACAGGAGTCTCAGGTTGAAAGAGGTGCGGGTCGCACCCCTGAGATCCACCGTCCAGGGGAATTCATGATAAAACACGGAGCTCCCCAGCGTCACGGCGGCTCTGTGGGCCTGGGGAGGGTTGGTGGCCAGAAGCTCCCGGCAGGGGCGCTGGGGCCGACGCCACCCCTTTCTCCGTTATGACTTACTGCACTGCGTGTACGTTATCAGACAGCATCCCGCGTGGCTGGGCCCCGGGAAGCTGGGGCTGCCCGTAGAGCCAAGGCCGAGGGCCTCCTGGGCGGGCCTGGCGCATTCATGGACTTGGGCGGGAGGTGCCAGGCCGGGGCTTCTGGGGCAGAGCCGCTCAGTGCCTCCCGAGGCTCTAGGTACCTGGGCAGGGGGCTGGGGTGCCAGTGTCAGCGGCCAGGGCAGGGGACCCGCCTCCCTCTCAGCCCGGCTCCCTGAAGCCCCAGCCACCTCCCTTCCTGGTGCCTGGCTTGGAGGCAGGGAGGCCGCCTCTGTACCTGGCCCAGTGCCCTCTGTGCAGGCTCCGCATGGGTCACAGCCTCACTCCAGCCCGCCATGGCCCACAAGGGTGGCACCGAGGCACAGGGCCCCGGGGTGCGGGACCGGGGCCTCTCCTGCTTGTGTCCCTGAGCCTCCGGCGCCGTCCAGCGACCCGCTGCTGGGCAGAGGGGGCGAGGCCAGCACGTTCTCCCGCCAGCAGAGAGGCAGTCATTGCAAAGTTTTTAAAAGCCTTGCTTCTTGAGCGCCATCGCGTCCCCAGCGCCATGCCGCGCATCGCCTGTGTTTCCCGATTCAAAAATCTTTGTAATGAACTTAAGGGTAAATGTGAATAGGGCCGCTTTGCGCAGGCGCTGACGCAGGCTCAGCCGGGAGGCCCCTTCGAGGCCCCTACGCACCCGCCCTCTGGGAATGAGCCCTGGTCCCCCACCCACACACCCACAAAGGAGCCTCTGGCACGTTCTCTCCCTGGGGCGAGCAGGTCACCTGCCCAGCAGTGTGTCTGGAGGCCTGGGCTAGGGGCGGGGGGTGGAGTCTTTCAGTACTTGAGATGGGCTTTTTCGGGGTCCTGCCTGGCCCCCACTTACTCCCTCAAGCAGTGGAGTCAGTCCCCATCCCTCGGGCTGTTTCCTACACTGTACATGCGCCTGCAGGCAGCAGTGGGGGTTCAAGGTAAAGCAGGGGGCACTGTGGCACCCTGAGGGGCCCTGAACTCCGGTGCTCGGCCCAAGAGGGGCTCCCTACTCAGCTGCCCCCAGAACCTGCCGCCCAGTCCCCTTCAGCTAACACCAGAAGGGGTGTCAGCTGCAGACACCAGGGTTTACTGGGGGACTTTGGACACACGACTGTGCCTCTGTGAGTCTTACTCTCCTGCTCTGTCAAATGGGTTGTTGGCCCCGGTGCCAGCCAGCGCCATCACCACCACTGCCCGCCCGCGGCCCCCGGCTGGGGGATCCCAAAAGGTACCGATGCCCGGTGCCCAGGCCCCTGCTTTCCCCACGCCCGGCCTGTCCTGAGGGGACACATCCTCCGCCTGTTGCCGCCACCGGGGCTGCCTGTAACATGCGCTTATGAGGCTTTCCTGACGATGAAGCTGCACCTTCCTTTTTCTGTGATTTTTTGGCAGTAAAGTATACATAACGTAGAATTTGCCATTAAGTCCATTCACCACCCTCCTCTCCAGAATGTTTTTCATCTTACAGAATGAACCCATCCCCCTTCACCTCTCGCTCCCCAGCCTCCCATCACTCCCCACCCCTCCCCCACCCTTGGCCACACTGCTCTCCTCTCTGCCCCGAGTTTGTCCTCTGTGGGTACCTCTCACAGGTGGAATTGTGCAGGGTTTGTCCTCTCGTGGCCTGTCTTGGGGTAATATCCTCCAGGGCCATCCGTGTGGCCGCAGGTGTCAGCAGTCCTTTTCAGGGCTGAGTAATATTCCACAGTGTGGCCGGACCTCACCTGCCAATGCAAATCGTGTGGCTGAACTGAGGTGTCCACACATCTGTCTGAGACCCTGTTTTCAATTCTCATGAGTTCAGACCCAGAAGTGGGATCCGCGCCCCCACACCCTCCCGTGACTTTCTGTGTGTGGTTTTTGGAGCGTGTGTCATTGCCGTCCTAGAGGCGTGAGGTCGTGTGCCGTCGTGTTTCCCTGCAGACGAGTACTTCCCTTCGACACTCTCACGGCAAGGCAACGTTCAAACACTGCAAAGTTGGGCCTTGAGAACGAGAGCCCCGCCCCAGAGATACCCCCTCCAGAGGCCCCGGGCCTCTCGCCGTTCCCTGGCACTTCCTTCCACACCGTGTCGCTCAATGACCTGTGATGATGTGGCCTGGCTTGGCCTCCTGCCCCCCGCCGGAGGGACCTGCTGGGCACGAGCCTCCCATTTGTCATGTGTCTCATCCCCCCCCAAATTCCATCACACCCAGCATGAGGGGTTCTGAAACCGGAGCTGGCTTCCTCAGCCCACAGCACCGCGCCCCTGACTCTCCATGTAAGCTGGCCACCCTGCCCTCCGGCCCCTGCGCCCCAGGACAGCTTAGGTGACCCCACACCAGTTCAAATGGTCTGGCCCTAAGTGATGGATATTCAGGCCAATCCCAAACACTCCCGCCGGGGACAACACCCCTGTCCCCTTCCCCAGCTCCTCACCTCCTCGGTGGGGCTCAGCGCTGCGGTCGGCCCCTGGCGTCCTTCTGCTGCCCCCGAACAGGTGACCCCACCACACCCCGTGTATCATCCTGGCCCCTCCCTTGGTCCAACGCGAGACATGAAAAAAGGAGGTGCCGTCAGGCAGGCTGGTGGGCGTGGCCCCCCTCCAGCCACCCCAGAAGAGCCGGGGCTCCCGGAGTGAACAAGGTGCTGTCCCACTTGCCTACCACAGTTCTGATTTCCTGGTGCCCCCAAGTCTTCCGAGCTGGGAGAGGCGGCCTTAGCATGCTGCAAAGGAGAAAGTAGCCGCTGCAAAGTGACGGACTCACTCGGACTCCCCAGGCCAGGGGAGGTGGGCACAGGCAAGGAACTCGTGAGACCCCCAGGAGCTGAGGGCCGCTCTGGCGGAGGCAGGGGCTGCCCTGGTCAGGAGAGAGGCTTGCAGGCACCCCTGCACGCACACCCCTGCATGCACACACACCTGCACGCACACCCCTGTGCATGCACACCCCTACATGCGCACACCCCTGCATGCACACACCTACATACACACACCTGCACGCACACCCCTACATGCACACCCCTGCATGCGCACACACCTGCATACACACACCTGCACGCACACCCCTGCATGCGCACACACCTGCATGCACACACACCAACATGCACACTCTTGCACGCACGCACACCTGCATACATACATATCTGCACACACACCTGCATGCACACCTACATGCACGTACACCCCTGCATGCACACACCTGCATACACACAGCCCTGCCTACACACACCCCTGCATACATGCGTGCGTGCACACACACACACACAGAACTCCCAAAGCCAGAGACTGGAGACCTACTGCCCCCTTGGAATGTCCCTTCTGCCCCACCTCTGGGCTCACCACATGCCTCCCCACAGCTGTATCCTTCTAGAAAGCTGCACTGGGGCTTAGAATAGCTGTGTGTGTGCACGGGCACACACGAGCGTGTGCTAAAGCACATATGAAAGGTGTTGGCTCAGCTCTAAGTGTCCTGCCGAGTGGTGTTAAGTCCATTCACGTGGCTGCTCCACCAGCACCAGTTGCAGTTCCTGGACGTTCGCATCTTCCTCAGACTGATAACTCTCACCTCTTCCCTCCTCGCAGCTGTCCCCAGTTACCTCGAATCCACTTTCTGTGACTTTGCTAGTCCGGGGACCTCATAAAAATGGAGTCACGTACTATCTGTCCTTTTGTAAAAATAACTCAAAGTGTGCGCAAGTAACGGGGGTTCGCGGTGCGAAAAATAGTCAAAGGCAGGACAACCGAAAGACAATAAAAATCACCCGCCACCCTCCCGCCCAGCAAGAAGCACCTAAGGCTCAGACTTTGCTCTCTGCTTAGAAACGCATTATTTACATCTGGCCAGGAGCGGCTCCCACTGGTCCTCCTGCAGCGGCCAGGGCTGGGGCCTCCTGGGAGCAGGCCTCGGAATGTGGTATTTCCTGAAAGGGGACGTCGGGTGTCCCCAACCCCAGGGGAGGGGGCTGAGGGGGGAGGGAGAGGGCTGGGGTCCAGTGACCCTTTCTAGGGTGCTTGCTGCACCAGGTCTTCAGAACAGCCTCCAGGGTGACCCCCATTTTATGAGGATGGGGGAGATGGGGGACACTCTAAGGGCTGGATATGCTAAGGTTGGCCAATTGTTACAGGACAGGGAGCGGGGCAGCCCTGTCACACAATTACAAGGTGCGACCTTGAAGCCCGTGTGGTGTCTGATTCTGGGGCCCAGGTGGAGCCAGCGCCCCAGGGAGCTGTCCCTGTCACACAGCAAGTTGGGGGGAGGGTCTCTGGAGTTTGGCCGCCCTCCAGAGCCTGGCCAGAGCACTCTCTGCCCAGTGCATCTTCCCCTGGGCCTGCCCCCTCCCTCGGAGCCTGGCAGGGAATGTAGGTCAGGGAGAGGATGGGCCTTGTGACCGGAGTGTGCAGAGCCTCGAGCAATGGCGCGTTCACGTCTATTCCTGGGCCCCGGGTGACCTGCAGAATCCCAGAGCCACAGGGCTGCACTGCAGGCTGCGGGGGGAGGGCAGGGCAGCACGAGGGGCGTTTGGGGGCGCCCTGCCGGACAGCTGCCCCCCTGCCGCCTCTGCCTTTCCAGGCTCAACCCCGATGGCTACAGACACAAATCAATAAAAACAGAACTATTTTTAAAAATAAAACTCGGGGGCCTCCCCGGTGGCGCAGCGGTTGAGCGCTGGGTTGCGAAGGTGCCCGCGGCCTCTGTAGCGCCGGCTCGATCCTTGGTCGCCAGGCGAGGGTCCTACATGGCACGCAGGGCTCTCGGGCCGCCCCACTGCTCCCCTCAGCAGTGTACTTCGGTCCTTCTGCCTGCTCTGCTCCCCGCTCTGGCTCTGGTGAATTCTCTCACCCTCCCGCGCTTCTGACTGTACCCAGTGCTTGTATAAATAAATAAATAAATCTTTAAAAAAAAATAAAATAAAACTCGGGCAGCTCAGTGCTCTCTTCCATGCAGAGAACAAGAGCTACAGGAAAGCTCCCCAGGCCGGACACCCCCCACCCCAGACCTCATGCCCAGGGCAATGAATGAACCACGGATGGGTTGGCCCCATGGTCCCCAAGGGGCAGGGGACGGGGACAGCTCCACCTGGAGACACAGGGCCAGGCAGAAGCAGCACGGCTCTAGCAGGCCCAGATGCAGGGGAATGGGCGGCCTCGGAGCCTCCCTGGGGGGCCAGGGAGGGCCCCCCTCCCCACCAACTGCACCCACACAGCTGCCACTTTCCTCTGCTTCCTGTGCTGCGTCCGCGTGTGCTTGCGCTGGGAAAGTGCTTCCCTGATGAAATGTGAAGGCCCAGCTCAGCCGTGGGTCCTGTGATGCCCCCAAGGGGGACTGTGCCCCAGGGGAGGGCGAGGCACCAGCCCCACCGCCTTCAGAGGGAGGTCCAGAGCCCGGTGGGCAAGTCAGAGAGCCCTGTCCCGCCCTCTGCCCCTTCCAAGCAGTTCCCTGTGGCACCGACGCCCTCCAGGGCAGGTGGGCAGGGCAGGCAGATTTCAGCCAGAAAGAATGAGCTTGAATCTCCCCGGTCCACATGAGGCCCTGCCCTCAGCCACCCCAACACCCAGCCCGGAGCCACTGCCCCCGGTCCGACACAGGCGCCTGCCGGGCCCCCAGAAAAAGAACCCCTTTGTCCACACACCTGCTGGAGGCCTCCCGGCCTCTGGGGCCTGCAGCTGCTTTCCTGGGCCAGACCGGGAGGGACTCAGGAAAGACCCCAGCAGCAGGGCCGCCGGCCATGCCCCGGCTATGCTCAAAGTGTCACAGGCCCCTGCTAGCTGGTCTGACCCTGCGGTGGCCTGGGGGACAAGAGAGGGGCCTGGGGGACAAGAGAGGGGCCCCCGGCTCGGACAGGGGAAGGGCTTGTTCTTAGTGATGGAGGGGCTGGGCCTTGAACCCCACCTTTGACTCTAGAACCTGTGACTGCCCCTCTCTGGGTGGAGACAGCCTGAGGCCCAGGTAAGGGGGGGTGGAGGGGCTTCACTCAGCCTGCCCACCCCTCCCCCCTTCCCTTGGGCAGCACCGCAGGGGTCAGAGGCAGCCCCCCACCGGCTCAGGGGTTCTCCCCCTGGGATCGTGACCTCCCACAGGTTCCAGCAGGCTTCCCAGCCCAGCCTGGCCTGCGCTGGCCACCTCCCTCCCTGCTAGCACCTCCTGGGACACATGGGCTCCCCGACCAGTTGCCATGGAAATAACTGGGTGGGGGGAGCTGGGGACATCCTGCCTCCCTCTGTCTCCTCCCCTTCCGGCTGGGCCGGGTGTGTCAGCCAGCCCTGTGGCTCTTGACCCGGACCAGGAGTTCAAATCCCCAACTGAGGGAGCAGACTGTGCGCTGAGGACAGAAGTTCCATATGTACTAAACGGGGAGCTGGTATCCATCGGGAGCCCCCTGCACACGCGTGTGCAGGGCCGCGTGTGCCACCTGGGGGTGGCGCCATGTGTGCATGAGAGTGTGCAGCTGCTGTTGAGGCTGCCCATGGGCAGAGAGGAGTTCCAGCCCAGTGGCCCCTGGCTTCCGTTTGCACGTTCTCTGCAGCGAGCACCTGTGCTGTCGCTTCCCCCTAAGTGTCTGTTTAAGTCTGAACCAGGGCAGTTGCGGGCCCAGCGCCTGGATGGCCACTCCAGGTTGCTAGGGGCGCTCCCAGGGCATTTGTCCTTGGTGGTGGTCACCCACTCTTCTCCGGTGCTTCCCGTGTGCTGGGCATGTGGGGGGGCAGTTTGCTGGGATTTGCCCACTTTAACGTGTGTCCCGGGGGCCCTCTGGTCCATACCCTGAAATGGCCAGTCACCCCTCCCAGAAGTCGGGGTCCAGTGCTCATCTTACAGGTAAGAAAAGTTAGGGGGCTTGTCCAGAATTGCACTGCCCCATGGACCCCTTGGTTGCATCTGGGTAGTGGTCTTAGAGGGGAACTGTGGGGTGCTGGGAATGCACCGTTTGGGGCCTGACCTGTCTGGGATCAGGGAAGGCCTCCCTGAAGAAGGGACATTTAATCTGAAGGACAAGGAAGAATAAGTCAGTAAGGGGAAAAGGCAGATCATTCCAGAAAGGAGCACATGATATGAATGCCTCAAGCACTGAGGCATCATCTTGTCCTCTGTACAATGGGAATGTTGTGGTTTGGCTGTTGTGGAAAACAGCTCGGCAATCCCTCCCAAAGGTACACAAAACTAAAAATGACCCAGTAATTCTGCTCTGAAATTTGTTCTCAGAAGTGAAAACAGCACTCAGCAAGTCACTGCACAGGAGTGCACGGTTGTCCACGGTAGCCAAAAGGTGCCAACCACCCAAACACCCATCAGTGGATGAACAAATGGTGATTATAGGCACATGGTGGAGTACTACACGGTCATGAAAAAGGAATGACGTCCTGACACATTCTCAAAAATTTTACATCAATCAAGTCAGACCCAAAGGTCACTTTTTATATGATTTCCTTTATACAAAATGTTCAGAAGAGGCAGATCCATAGAGAAAGAGTAGATAAGTGGTTGTCAGGGGCTGGGGACCAGCACTGACAGCTTGGCGGGTATGGGGCTTACTTTTGGGGTGATGAGAATGATTTGGAAGTGGATAGAGGAATGACTGCACAACATTGTAATGGCACTAATTGCCGCTGAATCGTACACTTAAAAATGGTTAATTATGGGGGGTCTCCCTGGCGTTGTAGGGCTTAAGTCTCAGCACTGTCACCACTGCAGCCTGAGTTTGATCCCCAGCCAGGAAGCTAACCCACATATGGTGCAGCAGACCTCTGCCGTCTCAGCTCCCCTTAGCAGGGTATTTCAGTAAATCCAACTGTTCTGCTCCCCACTCTGTCTCTGATGAATCCTCTTGCCACCCCCACACCACTGACTAACACCCCAGTTATTCTACGCAAAATAAATAAATAAATTTTTTTAAATGGTTAATTGCATGTGACATGAATTTCACCTCAACTTAGAACAAAACAGGGAGAGTGAGGTCCTAGCCTCAGGGCTGGTGGGGACTTCAGGAAAATCTCACTTGTCAGGCCCTCTGAGGTGCCCACAATGTCCCTGGGTACCCCGATCACCCACTCTCTCAGTTGGCACCTTTACTGAAGGCCTCCCGCCGTGAGCAAGTGGGGTGCTGGCCCCCATGCAGTGCACATAGAGTGGGAGAAGAGACGAGAGAAATGCACAGGGAATGTCTAGTGACGGGAGGTGCCGTGAAGGGAGACCGAGCGGGCAGAGGTGGCAGAGGCGGCGGGCGTGTCTCCGTGGTCAGGAGGAAGTGAGCGTGTGATCAGGTGCCTACCCCAGGCAAGGGCGTGCCAGGCGGAACAGCACGGGCAAAGGCCCTGTGGCAGGAGCGAGCCTGCAGTGGGGGTGCTGGAGGGCGGGGGTTGGGGTAGGTGCCTGGCAGCATTGACGATTCCCGGCCCCTCTCTCCTGCCACAGCCCTGCTCCTGGACATCATGACAGTGGCCGGAGTGCAGAAGCTCATCAAGCGGCGCGGCCCATTCGAGACGAGCCCCAGCGTCCTGGACTACCTCACCATGGACATCTACGCCTTCCCGGCCGGGCATGCCAGCCGCGTGGCCATGGTGTCCAAGTTCTTCCTCAGCCACCTGGTGCTGGCGGTGCCCTTGCGCGTCCTGCTGGTGCTCTGGGCCTTCTGCGTGGGCCTGTCGCGCGTGATGATCGGGCGGCACCACATCACCGATGTCATCTCCGGCTTCATCATCGGCTACTTCCAGTTCCGCCTGGTGGAGCTGGTGTGGATGTCCTCGAACACCTGCCAGATGCTCATCTCCGCCTGGTGAGCTGCCGGCCCGAGGTTCTGGGGCCAGGGCGGCCAGAGAGTGGCCGGGAGGCGCTGGGGCCGGCCTGGGAAGAGGGGTGAAGCCGGCAGCCCCAACTCATCTTCCCTACCTTGGCCAGAGGCCGCTGAACTCAGGTCGGCCTGTCCCAGGGACCGGTGCGTCCGGGGGTGCTGGGGGCCCTGCTCCTCGACCCAGTCTCCAATTGTCCTGTCCAGGCGGGCCGGCCCAGCCGTGGGGACAGCCCTGCTTAGCTTCTGCTCTGGAGGAAACAGGCAAGAACCAGGATGGCGGGAGGGCGGAGGCTTGCTCGTCCTCTCGCCGTCATGACTGCTGAGTTCTTGGCTGTTCCCGTCACGCCACCGCACGACGCCTGGCAAGATCCCGCCAACCACCGCCCCACGCAGGTGCCCTTGCCGTCGCGGCGCTCCGGGCAACTCTCCAGAGGGTGCCGCCGCCGCCGCCGGCCACCAGCCCACCGGCGCGCCAGGAGGAAAGGGCCCGTGGTCAAGTAGCCAAGGGAGCTGCTGCAGGCCCTGCGCCCACGGGACATGCCCGAGGGTCGGGGCTGCCCTGAAGGCTCTGGCAAGTCCTGTAGGAAAGGAAAGCCGCCTCTGAACCTGAACTTACTTGACCCCAGAACCCTTCTCACACGGGTTCAGCTATAGCGACCCCCCTCAAGGTCGTGTCTGGGAGCTGCTACCCCGAGCCCAAGGCCGGAGGCGTGAGCTGGCTTCTCCCAGCGCCCGGCCCTGCAGCCGGGGAGGCCGGTGTCCGAGCCACGGCCCGGGAGGCCCACACACGGCCCACGGCCTCGGTGCCGCTTTGGCCCCCAGGGGCCGGACTCTGTGTGACCTAATAGGTCGTGTCCAAGTCAGCTGCTGTGGACGTGCATTTCATGCGACAATACAGATGACGTGCAAACCCGCCTGGCCTGCGTGTTTTTGCCCCGTGTGACACAAGCCTCTGGGCAGGAGAGTCCCTGCCAGCATGGGCAGTGGCTTCTCCAGGCCCAGCGACAAGTGGGGGCAGGGGGCGCTAACGTCCCCGCTGGCTCCAGGCCCTGTGGTCTGGGCCCCACACGCTGCTCTGGCCGGGGCCTGGCCCGCACCTTCCGGGAAGCCCCCCGGGGAGGCCACGTAGCACCCCCTGGGGGCTGAGGCCCTGTCTCCCCACAGCCTCAGGACGCTCCCCCTCACTGCTCTTCCTGACCCCCAGGAGCAGGCAGGTGACCGGGCAGACACAGGAGCCTGGGGGCGGCGTAGATTGGGGTGCGTGGAGAACTGGGGAACCGGGGAGGGGGAGCGGCCCCAGGAAGTGGACTTCTACGCCTGCAGGGCCTCGGTGAGCCAGAGGAGACAGGGCTGAGGGCCGGGAGCCGCACCCACTGCGGACAAGCAGGAACCCCAGCGTCTGGTGAGTTTGAGGCTGAGGATGGAGGTTCCCCAAGGGAACACCCCTCATACCCCACAGTAGCCCTGACTCTGACTAGGGTGCCCCTTGCAGAGAAGAGAAAAACAAGGTCCAGGCAGGAAGGGACTTGCCAGAGCTGGCACAGCCAGTCTGCCTGCTGGGTCCCAGGCCCTGTCAGCTCCCCGCTGGGCCTTTGCAGGACCCAGACCCCAGGAGGGGAGTCCCAGGAACAGCTGGGGCTGTCATGTCACACCCCACAACCCAGTGGCTTAAAGCAACAGGAACGTAATTCCCCACGTGGTTCTGCGAGCCAGAAGGCTCGGGCCAAGCTCTCCCAGGGTCTTCCTGCCCTGGGACTCTGGGGAGCAGCCTTCCTCTCCCCTCCCAGCCTCGGGGGCGGCCCCCCCTCTGCCTTCCCTCCTGTGTCCACACACAGCTCCGCACTGCGCGGCGCCCGCCCAGCCCCACAGACCCTGTTTGTGAACACAGGCAGCTTGTGGGCACAGGGAGTCAGGGACACCCAGCCGCACACACAGGCCCCTGGAGGAGGAAAACAACTTCCTCTCGCAGACGTCCCCCTGGGACAGGGCCTGGAGGACAGCTGGTCCCTCCAATGGGCGGGTCCCCTGGCCACAGAGCTTCCTCAGGCCCAGACTGCTACCTCCCCTCCTGCAGCAGAAAGTCGGGGTCCTCAGTGGCCTCCCCACTCCGGCCGAGGCCCCTGCAGTGGGGAGCCAAGGGCCCCACCCAACCTCCCCCAGCCCTGGCTTCCCTCCTGAGCCGCCGGTGTGCCTCAGCCTCCTGGATCTGGACACCTCCACCCCATCTTTGCACGAAGAATCTTGGGGCGTTGGCCTGGCCAGGCCACTAAGTTTAAAATCTCCAACTTCCAACCTTGACTCTTGGCTGCTTCTGGAACCTTTAAATTACACTCTGCACCTCCCCAGGAGAGGCTGAGCAGAAGAGTGAGGGTCTTCTTTGCCCTCGCCCCGTCCCCCAGACCCGTCCCCCGCTGTGAACGGGCTCCAGCTTCGGGCTCAGACAGGCTGCAGCCCTCCATGGCCCACGTCCCCAGGAAGGAGCCGGTCCCCAGGGCTGTGCTTCTGCAGGGCGTGTGGGGAGAGCTCTGAGGTCTTCAGGAGGAGGACGGGTTCCCAAGAGAGCAGGATCCTTGGCAGACCCCCTCCACTTAGGGGGGCGGTAGAATCCTGAGTGTCTTGAACAGTTAAGAAGAGAGGGCCCTAGGAGGCACCCCCCCTCCCCCGTGCAGTGTCAGTGCCCTGGGGGTGAGCCCAGGGAGGGGGAAAAGGGATGATGGAGGGGAAGGGGAAGGGAGAGAAAGGGAAGGGAAGGGAGGGGCGGGGAGGGGCAGGGAAGGGTGGGGAGGGGAGGGAGCAGGAGAGGGAGGGAGAGAGAGGCTGTGCGCCTTCAGGAAGCGCCACCCTGCACATTCCTGGAGAGGCGGGTGGGGAGGCGGGTGGGGAGGTGGGTGGGGAGGTGGGTGGGGAGGTGGGTGACAGCTGTCCCAGAGGCCCAGAGGCCCAGAGGCCAGGTGTGCGCATGCGTTCAGAGCTGGCTATGCTCACGGCCAAGAGTTGCCCCCCTTTCCTGGTGAACTCTAATGACTGGGGTTCACGGTGAGCCTGTGCTGCACACCGGGCTGAGCCCCACGTGGTCAAGACCCCCCCCTTTCTAAAGAACACAGGGGCGCAGCAAGCTTTTGTTAAGGATTTTTATAATTCTTTTCATGAGACACTTCTGTGGCCTGCGGGGGATTGTCCTGTGTCTTCTGCAGTTGTGGGGCGCCGCTGGCCGCTTCTCTTTGAAGATTTGTGGGGGATTGGGGCCTGGGCTGAGGGGATCCCCGGACCTTGCCCTCCACGGTGTGTCTATTTGGCCTCCTTAAAGTTCCCATTTGTCAGCATAAAGAGCAAGAAGTTGGGGCTCTGCAGCCCCTTGTGACTATTATCTAGTGATGGTGCTGGGGTGGGAGCCTTTTTCTCAAGAACAACCATCATGGGTGTTGTAGGCTGAATTGTACCCCCCAGATTTATATGTTGAGGTCCTGACCCCCAGACCTCAGCTTTGACTAGAAGACAGGTCATCTAAAGAGGGAATTAAGTCAAAATGGGTCAGCAGGTGGCCCTAATCCAGCAGGACAGCTGTCCTCCCGAGCAGAGGAGAGGGGAACAGACACAGGGAGACAACAGCGTCCAAGCCCAGGGGCCCTCCACCTCGGACTTCCAGCCTCCGGCACCGCTAGAAAATTCTTCCTGTTGTTTAAACCTCCCGGAGTCGTGCCCTGTGTTGGCGGCCCGGGACAGTGGGGCCTCTCAGCCCAGCCATCTCAAGGGAGATTGGGACAGGTGAGTTTGGGGGGCTGGTCTGTGTCTGGAGGTGTGGGAAGAGCATGGGGCAGGGGGCCCACCTGCAGAGGCAGCCCCCCCTCGCCATCACAGAGGTCAGAGCGAAGTCCCTGTGCCCCCAGCCTCTTCCCTGCCCGAGGAAAACTCCAAAAAGGGCAGGGGGAGGGGCAGCAGGAGCCAGAAAAACAAACGAATGCTCAGATCAGCCACATCTGGCTCCAGGAGAAAGGGAACATCTGGCCTTGGCTCTGGCCCACGGCGTTTACGTAGCCCACATGTGAGTACATGGCCACATGCCACCTGGCGCCCCACCACCCACTGTGCTGGGGTCCCTAGGTAGGAGAGCTGGCATGGGTCAGGCTCAGAGAGCAGTCCAGTGCCCCCCAGAGCTCACGCACATGGGTGCACAGGCACATGTATATGCACAATGCATGCACAGACACACACAAGCACACATGCATGCATGCACACAAAGCCTCCCCTGGTGGCCTCCGTTTTCTTGCATGTAAGAAGCCTCTGAGCACCCTCCCAGCTTCCCCATTCTGTGACCTGCACCAATGTAGACACTCCCACGTGTAACATTCCACGTGCTTTGTGTACAAGCACAGACGTAAACCAGGAAACTTGCGTGCGCACCTGCCCACAGACACAGGGACACCCACCTCGACACACTCACACATGCACATGCCACACTCGCCTTCGGGCGCCACACGTCCCGCCTGCATGTATGCACGTCTGGTCTTGCACACTCATGTGTTCTCTTGCACATATTTGCATGGATCTGACTTGCCAGACATAACCAGTAAAATATGGAATGCAATATTTGGAACAGACTTAAAGTAAAATCTATTATTTTATCTGAAAAGGAAGTTTCCCTGGGGGCCAGTATTTCACCTGGTGCCCCTTGTGTGTACACACGTCTGTACGTGCATGCGTGCACACAGACAAGCTCCCGAAGCCAGGGTCCCCAGGCCCAGCCCAGGACATGCCACTGCCCCGGGAGTATTCCCAGGATCATGGCCTGGCCCGGGCCTGGGCTTGCTGGTGGGAAAGGGACGGGCTTCCAGGGAGCTCGGGGTCTGCAGGGACCCTGAGAAAGCTCCTCCCGCCAACAGCCCAGCTGTGCAGTCTGGCAGCAGTGGGTCCCTGGGAACCCCACCCAAAGGCACGGCCTGGAGGAGGATGTCCAGGCAGGGTCAGAGATGCAACCCCAGCCCCAAGAGGCCCCGCTTGGCCTCTTCTCCATCCGGTGCGGCTTTTGCTGGCAGGACCTGAGTCAAGACAACGGCCTCCCAAAATCCTGATTCCTCGGGTTGAATCCCTCAGCTGGGGCTTGCATGAGACAGGTGAGCGGGGTGGGAGGACAGCGTGTGCAGAGGGAGGGTCCCCAGGAGAGAAGGCCCAGATCTGGCCCCATGTGACCTGGGCCCCTCCCCCTAAGAGAGGAATTCTGGGCCAGCATCTTGTCTGATGGGTCTCCTGAGAGCCATGATAAGAACAGGGTGAATTTCTTCAAGGAAGCATCTATTTTCCTGATCACCATGTTTTTAGTTACATAAGAATGCATTTTCTCTGTTAAAAAGTTAGCGCAGACAGGAAACCCACAAACATTTTTTTGGTTCTTCTTTTCA